CTTGCTATAATATATAGTTTCATTACCTCTCCTGAATAAATTTTACTTGCATTGCTGAAATGCACACAAACCATAATAATAAACAACTACATAATGCATTTTTGCTACACATTTTTTACAAGTACCAGTGAAAACTTAAAACACATTACTGTATTTTATAGCTCAAATTTTTTTTTTTAAATATGGTTAAGACCAGAATAAACTATAATTTCAAATTTCATGTACTACCTGGATGCCTTGCTTGACCTAGTGTTACTGGAAGTGACATGGCAAGTGTATGTAGAGTGAACAAAAATACAGTTCATTCAATTATGAAAAATAAGAAAGCTACACGAGACTGTTTCTCTAGAAAACCGCAAATTATTCATTTAGGTTTGGTCATAGTAAATCAAAAAGAAGCATAATGTCTATGGTGGTGGTATTTTATTCTCATTTCCTGACACAGGTCTTAATCATATGATGGTCCACTAACTGGAGCTTTTGACTATATGACTGAGGCCTCCTGATGTCTTACTGGTCTACTCAATAAAAAAAAAAAAATGTCATCACATTAGGTTAGCAGCTGAATATGACAGATATTGTTTCATATCAGTTTCATAGCTTGGTTTACTGCTGCTATAAGCAAGAAAAAACAGCACATTTTGAGACTAGATTTGCTGAATATCTGGATTTTGGGGGAAAGGGAACCAAAAAGTTGCACTTAGTGGCAGTGTGATCTATGAGAAAATGCACTATTTGTTTGAAACTGTGTAAAGAGAAGGTGAGCCTCCATAGAACTGCAACATTTGTACTGGATACTTTAACAGTTTTAAAAAATGTAGCAAACTGCACAACATTAAATTATCTGTTGAAAGGATATCCAGTGATAATGTAGCTGCTGAGCTACTGAGCTGCTGTAGCTGTTAAGCTGGAAATAAATGGTATAAAATACCGACACAATGGAAATATAAACACATATGCAGTATAATGTGATCCTTTATTGACTACGTTTCGCCCACACAGTGGGCTTTTTCAAGTCACAAACAGATCTACCTGGGGTGGAAGGGACGCGAGTATTTATAGTCAGGTTCAGAATGCTGAGGTCAGGTGGAGAATGCTGCATCTGATGATGTACCGTGTGGGGTTATAGAGTCTAAAATCTTGGGTAGCTTGGAAAGGAGATTGGATAAGTTTGTGAGCAGACCTTCTACAGTGTTCTTCCATTCCTGTGTTCTTATGTGGGATAGTGATGAAGAAGTTTCTTGGCAAGTGGTTCAGCTATGTTATAGAAGCCACTATTCTGGTTGAAGTTGTCGGATATAGAAATAAGTGATGATTCCAGGATTCTTCGGTATTGAGTGTTGTCTTCTGTGGCGATAAGTCTCAAGTTTCTGTAGTTTATCAAGTGGTTGTGTGAATTACGGTGTTGTACACAGGCATTCCTTGTGTCGTCAGACCTGCTTGCGTACTGGTGTTCTGAAATACGTGTTTGAAGGTCCCTTGATGTTTCGCCCACGTATAATTTGTTGCAGTCATTACAAGGGATTATGTATACCCCTGCAGAGGGTGGAAGCTTGTCCTGTCTATCACTGGTAATGTCCTTGATGGTCGTGGTTGTGGAGGTAGATACTTGGAATGAGGTATTGGAAAAGATGTTGGAAACGTGTTTGGCTATCCCACATAAGAACACAGGAATGGAAGAACACTGTAGAAGGTCTGCTCACAAACTTATCCAATCTCCTTTCCAAGCTACCCAAGATTTTAGACTCTATAACCCCACACGGTACATCATCAGATGCAGCATTCTCCACCTGACCTCAGCATTCTGAACCTGACTATAAATATTTGCGTCCCTTCCACCCCAGGTAGATCTGTTTGTGACTTGAAAAAGCCCACTGTGTGGGCGAAACGTAGTCAATAAAGGATCACATTATACTGCATATGTGTTTATATTTTCAGCTGTTAAGCTGGTACAGAATATTTAAAAATGAGATTACAATCCAGACTAGTTGTTTAATGATGACGAGACAGAGTTATGATGGAAGGAGATGCCATTGAGAGCTTACAGTGTCAGATATTTATGTATGTAATATATCTATATACAGGTACATGTATGTATGTATGTATGTATGTATGCATGCATGCATACATAATAATAATGTTTATTTCTGTGAGCCATACAAAAAATGTAGTTCAACAAATTGGTGCAATAGTAGGCACAAAAGAAAGCCACTTATTATGTATGTACATATTTAGGTATGTATGTATGTACACACATACATACATATTCACTTCACCTACTTATGGTTACAGGGGCCATGTGCACATATATACCATTTTTTTACTCAGCCATCTCCCACTAAGGCAGGATCACCTAAATAAAACACAAACAGTCTCCATCATTCATTCAATCACTATCTTTGCCAGAAATTCCCTGACATCAAAATTCAGATCATCCGACTGCAAACTTCCTACCTGTTCTTTAGAGTATGACCAAGAAAAGAAAACACATTCACCATCATTCACTCAGTCACTATCTTTGCCAGAAGTGTGCTGCCATCAAAATTCAGATCACCTTCTGACTGCAAATTTCCCACCTCTACTTTAGAGTGCAGGCACTGCTCATCTTGCCTCAGCACTCAAGTCCAGCTAACCGGTTTCCCCGAATTCCTTCATGAATGCCACCTTGCTCAAACTTAACAGCATGTCCATTAAAAACCGCTTGTTTCCACTCCATTCTGGAATGTAACCTTAATTTCTGTCTTTTTTTTTTTTAACATGCTGGCCATCTCCCACTGACTCAACGTGACTCAAAAAAGAAAGAAACACTTTCACCATATCATTCTGTATATATAAATTACCTAATTTTTAAAGCATGGAATAGTAGGACACAGTGATTTTCAAGAGCATAAGTACCATGCTGTGCAAGAGTTTATTGTACTGCATACTGTATAATAAAAAATTACATTTATTTTTTGTGTACAGTTGACCCCCGCCCAACGGCGGCATCAAGTAACAGCAAATTCATCTAACAGCGCTCTTTGGCATCAAAAATTTGGCTCTACCAACGACGAAAAACTCATCTAACAGCATGTGGCCTGAGCGGGCCCAGCCACTGCAAGACTCCATGTATAGCCAGTGTGCCAATGTTTACAAGCCATTGCAGTCAATTCCAAGTGTACCTGCAATATATTCCAGTGTTTTTAGTGCTTGTAACTGCTAAATAAGCTACCATGGACCCCAAGAAAGCTTCTAGTGCGTGCTAAAAAGGGTGAGAAATAGTACAGGTGCTGCTGCTGCTGTACTACCATAAGCTGTTGCTGCACCACTGTTAGCTGCTGCTGTGCCACGGTCATCTGGACTATTGTTGGTGTGGCTTATCGAGAATACCGAGAAACAATTAACCCCAGAGGGTTAGCCACCCAGGATAACCCAAGAAAGTCAGTGCGTCATCGAGGACTGTCTAACTTATTTCCTTTGGGGTCCTTAATCTTGTCCCCCAAGATGCGACCCACACCAGTCGACTAACACCCAGGCCAACAGGAAAAAATGCCTGGAGCTAGTGCTCATATTGGTGAATTTAAGGCCAGCAAAGGTTGGTTTGAGAGATTTAAGAATTGTAGTGGCATACACAGTGTGATAAGGCATGGCAAAGCTGAAAAATTCCAACCCTAACAAGTGTTCAATTGTGACAAAACAGGCCTGTTCTGGAAGAAAATGCCAAACAGGACCTACATTACTCAGAAGGAAAAGGCACTCTCAGGACATAAGCCTATGAAAGACAGGCTAACTTTCTTGTTTTGTTATAATGCTAGTGGGGATTGCAAAGTGAAGCCTTTACTCATGTATCATTGTGAAAATCCGTGTTCAAGAAAAACAGTGTCTCATCACTCAACAATACTCTTCAATAAAGGTAAGTGTCATTTTAGTATTTATTTATGTATGTATTGTGCATGTCTAATTGTTTTCTGTGTAGGGAAATGTATATTTCATGTAGAAAAAAATTACTTTTTTTAATACTTTTGGCTGTCTGGAACGAATTAATTGGATTTCCATTATTTCTTATGGGGAAAATTAATTCGACCAACAGCAAATTCAACTAATGGCTAACTCTCTGGAACGGATTAATGCCGTTGGTCGAGGGTCCACTGTATATCAATAAATCTCCTCAAAGCTTTCAGTTATGCACGACATACAGGTAGCAGAACCTGATACATTTTAGAAAAGGACAAACTCTCCAGATTTACTTGATCTTATAAAGAACCTCAGTACAAAGTAGTATTTTTTTTTTTTTTTTTTTTTGAACATCAGCCATTTCCCACCGAGACAGGGTGACCCAAAAAGAAAGAAAAAACTTTCATCATCATTCAACACTTTCACCATCACTCATACAAAATCACTGTTTTTGCAGAGGCGTTCAGATATGACAGTTTAGATGTATATTACATCTAAATCAGAAATCAACATACCTAAAGTTTTTATATCAGATGGATTATCTATTTATGTTATGCATCAATAACTGCAACATAAAAATTAGGGAAGAGTGTAAAGAATTATAGATAAAATTTAAAGCATGGAGTCAAAGTAATGGACACCAATGCTTTCAAAAGCCCATGCCCATGATTTTTAATTACAGTTTTTGAAGAATCCACCTATGCACTTTCAAATACAAATTACAATTTATTAATAATCATGGCACTACTGTACACTATAGCTATATAAAGGTATTACAAAATGTGATAATCTGAATCATAAAATCAAGAAATAACCACATAGTGTTTAAATACTCTAAAAAACAAGAAAAATAGCAAACTTGACTTAATAATGACATGGAAGATCAGCTTTAATATTTTATACATTGTCATCAATAAGTCACTGTTTACATTTTACTATAAATATTCTTGCATACTAACACAAGAATGTTTTGGTAAAAATATTTAAAATAAAGCATTGTGGTGTTATCGCACGTAGTATACCATATATGCAATTTAGTATGTATTTTGGAAATTTAAAAATCTCAAAACTTTTCAACATTTGTATTACAGAATATAAGTTTTATATACAGTATTTACCTTATAATAAACAAAATTATAATTTACATTTAGTAAATAATACCTCAATATTTGCCAGAGCCTTACCTAAATTTGTATAGTATGTACAAATTATAATGTTTAACAATGCCAAGTAATAAACAACACAAGATAATTTTTACTTTCATTTAGTTTCACTGTGGCTTCAAACATAATTGAAATTTTTGCTTCATAGGTTTTTCAACTTTAAAAATGGAGATTTTTCATTGCAGCAGTGAGTCAACAGTTCACGTTAAGGGATCTTTGGAAGAAAGTATCATAGACTTCATCAGCAAGCCACGCCCTTCAGTTGGCTGTTTAGGAAAGAAATCAAATTAGATGGAAAATTGAAAACCCTAAACTTAATAAATAATAAATAATTCTGGAAAGTAACAGACATAATATGGAATATTTCATGGTCATATCAAAAGTATTTTAAGAAAAGATTGAGAGAATCTCATATTTTCATGTTTGTAAAAGTGCAATCCTAGACTCAAACAATGTTAGAAAGAATAAAAAGCATGTAATTAAATCATTACTTTAAACATCATTCATGAAAATTCATTACACAGAGTACACAAATAACCTGCACATAGAAGAGAGGAGCTTACGACGACGTTTCGGTCCGACTTGGACCCTTTACAAAGTTACACTTACAAGAAGTAGAGCAGGACGAGTATATATAGGCTGGAAGTAGTGGTGGTGGCAGTGGCGGCGGTTGTTGTTCTTCTCTTGATGCGATCAAGAGGGTTAGAAACAGAGGAGTGTAGGTACGTGAGTCAGAGAGCAAGACATCAACTTTACGGAGGTAATCCACACGATCAAGGATAACTACCGAATTACCTTTGTCAGAAGATAGTATGACAATGTTAGTGTTAGATTTAAGAGAAGAAAGAGAAGAAGAAGCTCTGTCTCTTATTCTCTTGCTTCTTGGCTGGCCAAAACCCTCACTCCCTTTCTTGGTACTATCTCTCCTGCCCACCTCCATCACTCTTAAGACTTCATTGAACGGGTTCGCTCTCTCCCGACCTGTAAGATGCTTAGTCTTGACGTTGAGTCCCTCTTCACCAATGTCCTTCTTGATGATGTCCTTGATTTTCTTACAGAGAATACACAAGTCAGTCCATCTATCATCATTCCATCATGCAGGAGGAGCCACATGTCTATGGTGCATCAAACAAGATAAGCAGACTCTTGAATGTCACTACCGCCTTGCTCCGGCTGGGTTACAAGTATCTATGGCAGGTTAAATCACCACCACCAGATGTAGACCAAATGAAATGTAAACTTTGCCAGATGGACTATTGTCACACCTTGCATCATTATGTACTGGAGTGTGATCAAATTAATGAATTTAGAGACAACTCACTCAGAAATGTTCAAGAAATGGCAAAGTATTTTATCAACTGTGGTATATTACAGACCATTCTGGGGAAATACCTGACTTTGCTAGCTGTAAATAATGCATTACCACGTGTGTGTGTGTGTGTGTGTGTGTATGCATATATTTGTACGCTCGTGTGCATGTGTCTGTGCGCGTGCCCTCGTGCGTGTATGTGTGTGTGCAAGCACTCGTGTGGGTGTATGATCCATTTAATATTTGTATTTATAACTCATTACAATTGTGACCAGGTGTGGATGTATCAGTGGCTCATTACTTTGTAATTTGTTCATGACTGTAACCATGTATAGGAGTGAGGCTGAGTCATTACCTTTGTAACTTGCCATGATTGTGACCAGATCTACCTAGAGTTCATTACCTTTGTAACTAGTTCAGCTATCATAACTTTGGGGTCCAGTCCCTGGACCCATTATGTACCTTTGTAATCTTTTGACTACCACCCACAGGATGGGTATGGGGTGCATAATAAAGATATTAAACTAAAGAGAAGGCCCAAGAAGGGTTTCTTCATCTCCCTATACCTAGTGATGTCTTTTTTGATCTTATCCACCTCTGTGTGGACTCTAATTCCTTTTCCTTCCAAGGGAAATATTATTCTCCAAACCTTCGGTGTTGCTATGGGCTCTCCTCTCTCTCCTGTCCTTGCTAAACTTTACATGGAATACTTCAAGACTGTTCTTCTTCCTACCATCGATGTGCGCCCTTCACTCTGACTCCGCTATGTTGATGACATCTTTCCTCTGTGGCCTCATGACTCTAGTCTCTTCCAACCTTTTCTTGAAGCTCTTAATAATCTTGCCCCAACCATAAAGTTTAAAGCTGAATGGGAATCTAATTCCTTACTTCCTTTCCTTGATGTCCATGTCCACCGCTCAGATACAGGTTTTTCCTTTTCCATTTACCGCAAACCTATGCACAGTGGCATGTACATTCACTACTTTTCCTATCATGCTTCCCCTGTCAAGAAATGTGTTCTTATCTCCCTCTTTCTCCGTGCCCTCTGCATCTGTGATCCTCAGTTCCTTCCAGCAGAAATTTCCACTGTTCATAATTCATTTTCCCGTCTTGGCTACCCTTCCCATTTCATTGACTCTGCCCTTTCACGTGCTAAACGTAATTTCTTCTCTCCCAAACTCTCTACTCCTGGGAACTCTTCTGTCCTCTGCCTTCCCTACATTTCCAGTCTTTCTAATCTCAACAACTCTCTATTCCTTAGACATCAAGCTTACTTTCCACCAGACTAACACTCTTCACACTAATCTCGTTCATACCTCTCCTCCCTCTACAGATGTTCCTGGTGTCTGCTCTATTTCTTGCTCCTGTCCTCTTCAATACTTTGGAGAAACTGGCCAATCTCTCTCTGACAGACTTAGAGAGCACAAAAATAGTGTTAGGCCTGCCGACACTAACAATGCTCTTTCCTGTCATGTCAGAGATCACAGCCGTCCTACTGACCGGTCTTCTGTTAAACTGTCTTCCCTACTTCCAACATTAACAGTCGCCGTCTAGTTGAATCCTCCCTAATACACAACTTTCCTTGTATGAATCTTAGTCCTGACTTCGTCTCTGTAGATGCCTTCCCTCCCACTACACTGTAAAATGCTGCAAACTTCAGAACACCCGTGACTTAACCTGATTCCTCCTTTTTTCTTCTTCTCCCTCTTCCCCTTTCCTCTTTCCTTTTTTTCTCTTCTGGGTTGTCTTTCTTTCTTCTGCCTTGTGTTTCTGTTCCTTCATTATTTATTTTATTATTCCCCCCCCCACCTCTGTGGGTACCTAGCTCCCTTGCAGTGCTCCCCTTTCTTAGTATTGACTGGCTCCTCCTCCTTTCTCCCACCCACCCAGGAGGAGGAAAAGGAGGAGGAGGAGGAAGAGGAGGAGGAGGAAGAAGAAGAGGAGGAGGAGGAGGAGGAGGAGGAGGAGGAGGAGGAAGAGGAAGAGGAAGAAGGAAAGAAGAGGAAGAGAGGAAGAGGAAGAGGAAGAGGAAGAGGAGAGGAGGAGGAGGAGGAGGAGAGGAGGAGGAGGAGGAGGAGGAGGAGGAGGAAGAGGAGGAAGAGGAGGAGGAAGAGGAGGAAGAGGAGGAGGAAGAGGAGGAGGAAGAGGAGGATGAAGAGGAGGAGGAAGAGGAGGAGGAAGAGGAGGAGGAAGAGGAGGAAAAGGAAGAGAAAGAGGAAGAGGAGGAGGAAGAGGAAGAGAAAGAGGAAGAGAAAGAGGAAGAGGAAGAGGAAGAGGAAGAGGAAGAGGAAGAGGAAGAGGAAGAGGAGGAGGAAGAGGAGGAGGAGGAGGAGAATCCTACCCCACAAACTTGACCATTATGGTATAAGAGGCCATGCATTTGCATATTTCAAATCCTACCTTACTAATAGGTATCAGTAAATCACCATTAAAGACACAGCATCATCAACACGGCCACTTGATAGAGGAGTTCCACAGGGAAGTGTCCTCAGACCCCTGCTCTTCCTCATTTACATCAATGATCTTCCAAACGTATCCCAACACCTGAAACCCATTCTCTTTGCTGACGACACAACTTATGTCATCTTTCACCCTAATCTTGCCACCCTCAACACCATTGTTAATGAGGAACTGCTCAAAATATCAACTTGGATGTCAGCCAATAAACTTACACTTAACACTGACAAAACCTACTATATTATGTTTGGTAGCAGAGCAGGTGCTTCATAACTAAACATTAAGATTGACAGCACTCTAATTGCCAGACATTTTGAGGGCAAATTCCTAGGCCTATACCTCGACAACAACCTGAATTTCAGCACCCATATCCAACACATATCAAAAAAAGTATCCAAAACAGTTGGGATCCTCTCCAAGATACGATACTACGTGCTGCAAAATGCCCTTCTCACACTATACCATTCACTCATTTATCCATACCTCACCTATGCTATTTGTGCTTGGGGATCAACTGCAGCAATACAACTAAAGCCAATAATAACTCAACAAAAAGCCACAGTAAGAATAATCACTAAATCCCATCCCTGGCAACACCCCCCCCTCCCACTCTTCATAGATCAAACTTTCTCCCTATTCAGAACATCCACACTTACTACTGTGCAATCTACATATACAGGACCTTAAATTCCAATATTAACCTTGACCTAAAATGCTTTCTTGATAGTTGTGACACCACCCACAAGCATAACACCAGACACAAACATCTCTACGACATTCCCCGTGTCTGACTAAATCCATACAAAAATTCAATGTATGTCAAAGGCCCTAAAATCTGGAACACCCTACCTGAAAACTCAGACACATTCATCACCTTCAAAACTACCGTTAGAAAACATCTTATCTCCCAGATACACCCCGTCAACTAACTACATAAAAACCACCTGGTGGTTCACACTTACACTCACTCACTCACCCATTTGACTATAAGCACAGAAATATGTATCTTAATCTTAAAATAATGATTCCTAACTAGTCACAAGTTTGCCTGTGATACTCCAATATAGAAACTATGTATTGTGCCAAAACAAAAGCATTCACATTGCTAAACTCACAAACTAGTATTTAGTCACTTAGTATTTAGTCAACTTACTCCACAATTTGTAATAATTTAGGGTTAAGAATTAATCTAAGTTTGCCCGAAATGCCTAGCCTTGCTAGGTGTTCTAGTGGCCCTCTCTATAATTAGTATTTTATTACATGTAAACCACACAATAACCAAAATCTGTAAACCCCCCATTGTAACCCTTATAGAGAATAAACTTTGATTTGATTTGATTTGATATATGATTTGATTTGATTTGAGGAGGAGGAGGAGGAGGAGGAGGAGGAGGAGGAGGAGGAGGAGGAGGAGGAGGAGGAGGTGGTGGTGGTGGTTCCAAGTCGGACCGAAACGTCGTCGTAAGCTCCTGTCTTCTATGTGAGGGTTATTTGTGCATT